GGATGAATGGCAAAGTCTAAAGTTCAAAGACTTTGATAAAGTGATGGATTATAATTCCGCTATGATGGAAATTGTGGTTAAACTAAAATATTATGGTGATATTATCACTGATTCTCAGATGCTTGAGAAAACGTATACCACGTTTCATGAAAACCACATTACCCAGCAAAAACTGTATATGTCATACGGGTATACCGAATTTTCGGATTTATTTGTGGCACTCCTAATAGCGGAAAAGATTAATGAGACCGCTCATGCGGTTAACTAAAGAGCTTGTATTGAGACTGCTGAAATAGTCTCTAGTTATGCCATATATGTATAATATTATGCTTTTATTATTTTGAAAAATAATGTTGTTTTAACAACAATTTAATGTATAATTATTGTGTGTTTTCCTTTTATAAAATTTACTTTCTTTATCATTATCTTAATCACAGAAATGGATGAAACAATCTCCAAGGAAATGGCTCAAGAAATTTGTATACCAGATAGTGGAACAACACACACTATTCTGAAGGACAAAAGATATTTCTCTAACTTAAAACCGACAAACGTTATTGTCAATACAATATCAGGTCCTGTAGACGTGATTGAAGGAACTGGTATGGCCAACTTTATGTTGCCTAATGGAACCAAGTTTTCCATAAAAAATGCCTTGTATTCTCCAAACTCTAAAAGGAATTTGTTGAGTTTCAAAGACATATACCTTCAAGGATATGATACTCAGTCTGCAACTGAGAATGAAAAGAAGTATATGTACATAACTTCTGATAAATCGGGAAAAAGGCTTATATTGGAAAAATTTCCAAAACTTCCTTCAGGATTGCATTATACTCATATAAGTGCAATCGAATCGCATCTAGTGATTAAAAGAAATCCAGAAGATTTCACATTATGGCATGATCGCCTCGGTCATCCAGGCACCTCGATGATGCGAAAAATCATAGAGAGCTCACATGGACACCCATTGAAAATCCAGGAGATATATCATGGGAATAAAAAGACATGTGCCGCATGTTCTCTTGGAAAACTGATCATAAGGCCATCGCCAACCAAAATTGATAAAGAATCACCAAAATTCCTTGAACGAATTCAAGGAGATATTTGTGGACCAATACATCCACCATGTGGACCATTCCACTATTTCATGGTATTAATTGACGCATCCAGCAGATGGTCACATGTTTGTCTATTATCATCTCGAAATATGGCATTTGCGAAATTTCTAACTCAAATAATCAAACTGAGGGCTCAGTTTTCTGATTACCCTATTAAAAGAGTTAGACTAGACAACGCTGGTGAATTCACATCCCAAGCATTCAATGATTATTGTATGGTAACGGGAATTGAAGTTGAACATCCTGTAGCTCATGTTCATACACAAAATGGCTTGGCGGAATCATTAATTAAACGTCTGCAATTGATTGCAAGACCATTGATCATGAGATCAAAACTTCCAACCTCTGTATGGGGACATGCCATTTTGCATGCAGAAGCACTCATTCGGATAAGAACAAGTGCATACCATAAATACTCCCCACTACAGTTAGCATTTGGTCGAGAACCAAATATATCCCATCTAAGAATTTTTGGTTGTGCGGTGTATGTGCCTATAACACCACCACAACGTACAAAGATGGGACCACAAAGAAGGTTGGGAATATATATTGGCTGTGATTCTCCATCAATTATAAGATACCTAGAACCGCAGACAGGTGATGTCTTTACGGCACGATTTGCCGATTGTCATTTTGATGAGAAAGTATTCCCGGTTCTAGGGGGAGAAAATAAGCAAGTAGGAAAAGAAATTAAATGGTGTGTACCATCCCTGTTACACCTTGATCCTCCTACAAAACAGTCAGAATTAGAAGTTCGACGAATTGTGCATTTGCAAAGTATAGCAAATCAACTTCCCGATGCTTTTGCAGATACCAAAACGGTAACTAAATCATATATACCAGCTGCAAATGTTCCTGCTCGAATTGAAATACCACAAGAACGTGGAGGAGCAGATGATACACGTGAGTCTAAAACACGTTTGAAACGTGGTAGACCAGTTGGTGCTAAGGATAAAAATCCTAGAAAACGAAAGGAAGTTGAAAAGCATGATATTCCCAAAATAGCAGAAAGCATTTTGGAAGAAACGGATCATGAGTCTAATGACAATGATGAGCATCATGAGCCTGAAGGAAACCATGAGATTTCTATCAACTATATCCATAATGGAAAGATCTGGGATCGAAATAAAATGGATGAAGTTAATGACGTTTTCTCATACCTTTTGTCAAAGGAAATTGATGAGGAAAACGAGGATCCAGAACCAAAGTCGGTATATGAATGTCAAAAGAGACATGACTGGATAAAATGGAAAGATGCAATACAAGTCAAACTTGATTCGCTCAATAAGCGAAATGTATTCGGACCTATTGTACTCACACCTGAAGATGTGAGACCGGTCGGATACAAATGGGTTTTCGTTAGAAAACGAAATGAGGAAAATGAAATTACGAGATACAAGGCTCGTCTCGTAGCTCAAGGATTTTCTCAAAGACCCGGGATTGATTATGAGGAAACATATTCCCCCGTTATGGATGCAATAACGTTTAGATTCTTGATGAGTCTAGCGGCTGATGAAAATTTAGAAATGCGTCTCATGGATGTTGTTACAGCATATTTGTATGGATCATTAGATACAGATATCTATATGAGAGTTCCCGACGGGTTTAATATGCCAGAAGCATTGAAATCTAAACCAAAAGAGTTATGTGCAATAAAGTTGCAAAGATCATTATATGGGTTAAAGCAATCTGGGCGAATGTGGTATAATCGTCTCAGTGAACATTTAACGAAAAAAGGATACGTGAACGATCCTATATGCCCATGTGTTTTCATCAAGAAAACAAAATCTGGATTTGTGATAATCGCGGTATATGTTGATGATCTAAATATAATTGGGACTCAAGATGAAATACAGAAAGCAACAAACTATTTAAAAGGGGAATTCGAGATGAAAGATCTCGGACAAACAAAGTTTTGTCTTGGCCTACAAATTGAACATTCCCAAAAGGGTATATTTGTGCACCAATCCACGTATACTAAAAGAGTGCTAAAACGATTCAACATGGATAAGGCAACTCCTCTTAGTACTCCTATGGTCGTTAGATCACTTAACGTTGAGAGTGATCCATTTCGACCGCATGAGGAAAATGAAGAGATACTCGGTCCTGAAGTACCGTATCTAAGTGCCATTGGAGCCCTTATGTATCTTGCAAATTGCACTCGACCTGATATATCATTTTCAGTCAATCTTTTGGCTAGATTTAGTTCATCCCCTACGCGAAAACATTGGAATGGGATTAAACATGTCTTTCGTTATCTTCAAGGGACTATTGATTTAGGGTTATGTTATCCTAAAAATATAAATGGTCAAATGATTGGTTTTGCAGATGCAGGATATTTATCAGATCCACACAAAGCTCGATCCCAAACAGGATACGTATTCACGATTGGAGGTACTGCTATATCATGGCGTTCTCAGAAGCAGACGCTTGTAGCTACTTCTTCAAATCATGCTGAAATAATCGCACTCCATGAAGCGAGTAGAGAATGTGTGTGGCTACGATCAATAAGTCGACACATTCAAACAAGTAGTGGAATTCGTCTGAATACAGAGCCAACCATCTTATATGAAGACAATGCTGCATGTGTTGCTCAGACAAAGGAAGGATATATCAAAAGTGATAGAACCAAACATATCCCTCCGAAGTTCTTTTCATACACCCAAGAGCTCGTGAAGAATAAAGACATTGAAGTAAGATATGTCCGATCATCCGAGAATTCTGCGGATCTCTTCACAAAATCATTGCCCACCTCTACGTTCAGGAAACATGTTCATAATATTGGAATGCGTCGTCAACAAGACTTGTAAGTTATGATCCTGATCATTCGAGGGGGAGCTTGCGAGGTTGCACTCTTTTACCTACTATGGTTTTTCCCACTGGGTTTTCCTAGAAAGGTTTTTAACGAGGCAACAGAAGATACAACAGAAGATATTACGCAAGAGATATAGTGACACTGGTCTCCAAGGGGGAGTGTTACGAAAGTCAAGAAATACTGCGAAGGATAAAAACATGCGTAAAATCATTCGTAATATATTATTTTGTGTGGAGCCCACCGTCACTATGCAGCATAGTAATTTACTTTTTCTACCTCTATATAAACGAACGAAATCGTTCGTTGTAAATCACAATTCATTACTTCAATTATAAGAGAAGTAACAAACATCTCTCTCTCGTTTCTTTACTATTCAGTATCCCGATCCTTCTGCGGGTATAAAATTTCTCTCTTATTTATTATTTATATTCACCATAAAATAAAGTAATTATTTATAACAATATTTTATTTATTGGCAACAACCCAATAATCCCATATTCCTACAAATCCTCTAAATTCTAAAGTTTTGCCGTTATTAAAATATTTTATAAAAAAATATTTAGGAACGTCTTTTTAATTTATCTCCGAGGGTACACTTTTTTTCTTTATCTCTTTTGTTTTTATCTAAAAACAAACTTTTAGGATATTACCTCACGAAAATAAAACAATAAATTATTCGTCTACCACCATCGGAAAAAGACAAAAGACTTCGACTACCCCACTCAGTGGCACAATCCTGTAATTTCTACTAAACATCAATACCCTTTCTCGAATTCATCGTCTTCTTTGTTTTTAATAAGATGTTACTTTTTCCTCATTTTTCAATCTTTTTTTCACCAAGAAGCAGAGAAAGAAACATTAAAGCAGAGAAACAAAGCAAAAAATAATCTCCATTTTATTCTTCTTCTAAATTCTTGAAGTTTTATCAATGGCTGGTGTTACTGGAATCTTAAAGCTTGAAGCTTGGAGCATCTTGTGAACAAAAAGAATCGTTTTTCTTTTCTGGGTTTTTGAGTTTTTTTTCTCTTCTTTATTACCGGAAGTAATGGCATGTCGGAGTATGATCGCTTTTAGTTTAGATCCTGAGAGAAAACAAAGTGGAGGACTTAGAACAAAACAAGCTGGAAGAGGATCTTGCCGTGGAAGTTAGTCTTTGTTCAAATCCATTTTCCTCTCAATCTTCTTAAAGAATGTAATAATGGGTTTTTCTTGATTGTTGTAGATTTGTTCAAAAGTTTTGTTTTTGAAGTTAAAGTTTTGATTTTTTTTCTTCTGGGCAGTTTGAAATTGCACTGTTGCAAGTGAAAAGATTGTTCTTGTTGGAGCTTAAAGAAGAGAAGAGAAAGCTATGGGAGTTTTACTAAGAGAAGCTTTGAGGTCTATGTGTGTTAATAATCAATGGTCTTATGCTGTTTTCTGGAAAATTGGCTGTCAAAATTCTAGGTACCACTCTCATTCTCTTAATTTTTATTTTTTTTTGGGTATTTAGGTAATTTTTATGTCTCTTAGGTCTACCAAATGAAACTTTATTCAGTCAAATATAATCAGTTTTTTGAGACTTGTTTGTTACTTGTTAGTTTAAAGTTTGGGAATTTTGATAAGGTTTAAAACTCAGATCTCGAGGATGACTAGAATTATTTATCTTTGTTTTCCTGTTTTCTTGGAGTTTTGTGTTTGGTTTGATCTTGTTTGTCTTAAAGAATCTTTCGATTTGTAGTTGTTTTGTCGACAATAACCATATCCTTGTCTAAAGAGTTTAAGTTCTTAACTCTCTTGTCATTTCAATTTTTATTTCTTGTCTTGTTCGTTTTGTCTTTGTTTACCTCAAAATCTTTTGTAATCGTCTTTTTGTGCTATTCTAACTTAACCATTGTTGCATCTTTTTGTCGTGTGTATTCTAATTTTTTTTTTGGATGTGTTTTGTTTCTTGTTTTTGTGCAGCTTATTGATTTGGGAGGAATGTTATAATGAAACCGCATCGAGCTCGAATCCTCGAAGACTTTGTGGACTTGGTGTTGATAGTCAAGGGAATGAGAAAGTTCAGTTGCTTACAAACCGAATGATGTTGAACAATCGAATCATTTTGGTTGGTGAAGGACTAGTTGGCCGAGCTGCATTTACTGGACATCATCAATGGATTCTAGCTAACAGTTTTAACCGCGATGTTCATCCACCCGAGGTTATTAATGAGATGCTTCTCCAATTCTCTGCTGGTATTCAGGTTTGTTACTTTCTTCATGTTTTGAATATCCTAAGTTTGCCTTCTTGAGTGAATATATATGTGTGTGCTTATTTCGTTTGTTCGTCAGACTGTTGCAGTTTTTCCGGTTGTTCCTCACGGTGTTGTTCAACTCGGTTCCTCTCTGCCTGTAAGTTCAAGTTACATTGTTATGTAAAGTGAGATTCTTGTTCTTGATTTAACTGTGAACTGTTGTTCTATTGTGTTCAGATTATGGAGAATTTGGGGTTTGTGAATGACGTGAAGGGTCTTATCCTGCAACTCGGATGTGTTCCCGGAGCGCTCTTATCTGAAAATTACAGAACATATGAACCTGCTGCTGATTTTATTGGAGTGCCAGTGTCTCGGATAATACCTTCTCAAGGACATAAGATCCTCCAATCTTCGGCTTTCGTAGCTGAAACTAGCAAACAACACTTCAACTCCACTGGATCATCAGATCATCAAAATGATCAAATGGTTGAAGAAGCTCCGTGTAATCTCGTGGATGAACAGATCAAGCAAGGAGGATGGCAAAACACAACGGGTTTTCTAACAGCTGGGGAAGTTGGAGTACCTTCAAATCCAGATGCGTGGCTGAATCAAAACTTCTCTTGTATGTCTAATGTGGATGCAGCAGAGCAACAAATCCCATGTGAAGACATCAGTTCCAAACGCTCGCTTGGAAGCGACGACTTGTTTGATATGTTGGGTTTGGATGATAAGAACAAAGGTAGTGACAACAGTTGGGGTGTTTCGCAGATGAGAACGGAAGTACTCACTAGGGAGTTATCCGACTTTCGGATCATTCAAGATATGGACCCTGAGTTTGGTTCTTCGGGGTATGAACTTTCAGGAACAGATCATCTGTTAGATGCCGTGGTCTCGGGTGCTTGCTCCTCCACAAAGCAGATCTCGGACGAAACATCTGAGTCCTGCAAAACCACTTTGACTAAAGTTAGTAATTCTTCGGTTACCACGCCATCTCACAGTAGCCCTCAAGGTAACCAGTTATTTGAGAAACAACACGGGCAACCAGTGGGGCCATCATCGGTCTACGGGTCTCAGATCAGTTCTTGGGTTGAACAAGCACACAGCTTGAAGCGTGAGGGCAGTCCAAGGATGATGAATAACAATAAGAACGAAACTGCAAAACCAGCTAATAACCGTAAAAGACTTAAACCAGGAGAGAACCCAAGACCAAGGCCTAAAGATCGCCAGATGATTCAAGATCGTGTCAAGGAGTTGCGTGAAATCATACCAAACGGTGCAAAAGTAAGTGAAAAATTATGTGTTCTCGACAAATTAAACAATCGCTAAGAAAGATTATACTAACAACTAGTAAATGTGCTTTTTGCTTAACAGTGTAGCATTGATGCACTCCTGGAACGTACAATCAAGCACATGCTCTTCTTGCAAAATGTCTCGAAGCACTCTGATAAGCTGAAGCAAACCGGGGAATCCAAGGTATAACACAGAACAATAATATTTTCGTGTCTCTCATGGATTCTTGTTCTGACGTTTGTTGTGTTGTTATAAGATTATGAAAGAGGACGGTGGAGGAGCAACATGGGCTTTCGAAGTAGGGTCAAAGTCTATGGTGTGTCCAATTGTCGTAGAAGATATAAACCCGCCTCGCATTTTCCAAGTTGAGGTAACAATGCTGCCTAAGGTTATTAAAGAAACCATTTATGGTCTCGGTTTTGATCTAATCCGCTCTCTTTTGTGACAGATGTTGTGTGAACAACGAGGATTCTTCCTAGAAATCGCGGAATGGATCAGAAGCTTAGGGTTGACGATCTTGAAGGGTGTAATCGAAACTCGACTAGACAAGATATGGGCTCGCTTCACTGTTGAGGTATGTATAAGTTAAAACTATGTTCAATTCTGTTGAGATTGTAGTAGAATGTGTCTTAAATAACCGAAACCGGTTTGAAATTTGGATTTTAGGCGAATCGAGACGTGACGAGGATGGAAATATTCATGCAACTAGTGAATATTTTGGAGCAGACAATGAAATGTGGAGGAAACTCTAAGACTATTTTGGATGGTATCAAAGCTACAATGCCCTTACCGGTTACTGGTGGCTGTTCAATGTAATGACACAAATTATTGACCGTACCGGATTGCTCCGGTTTTAATAAACCGGTTTGGTTAAAGCTTGATTCATATAGAGGTTACGAGCGGACCGCTCTTAAGGACTTTAGGCTCGCTATGACTAACTTAAAAAAAGTCAGTCTAAAACAGAGATGATGATTTTTAAGTGTTTTTTTCCCACTTTTTTTGTTTGTACATTTTTGCGAATTTTCATTTGTGTGGAATTTTTACTTTTAATTCAGTTTTGGACTTGTAAAATTTTTAGTTAAATTGTCTAAAATTATCAACCAGTAAGAGTTCAAAGAATACACAGATTTCAAGACCGGTAAAAAGAACCGGTCCATCAACAGCTTTAACAGTACACAACAAAGCTTCACATGTTACAAGTACCTTTATGTTACTTTGATTAGTAACTCTATGTATATAATTAGCTTATTATTAAAAAAAAACAAAAACGAGAAGCTCTACTTTCAATAAAACTCACTCTTTGTTAAGAAATGTGAGGCCTATAGAAGATAAAGCTAATAATAGTTAGTTATAATACTTTTGTTAACAGCCTTATAATGTGCTATCATGTGAATTCATAATCTCTAATGGATGTCTTAATCCATTCCTAATTTTTACATTTTTCATACTAATTAGTGGATCAAAATTAGTCTAAGTCTAACGTCAAAAATACAAATCAAAACTGTGTTTTGTTTGTTGTCTCAAAAATGCTTTATTTACCCTTTTGAGGTACCTAAACTTTGCTGCAAAAGGTGCATGAACATCTTTGTGTCTTGCTTTAGCCATCTCTCCACTCTATAGATTATGATGGTATAATCGACAGCACATTATGATTCACTAAAATTCATTATATTTTTCTTGGGCCCTTCAATTTTCTTCCTCACTTTTAAAATATGCTTCCAATAATACTTTATCAACAGTCTACTAGAGATCATTTCCCACTAGGCTACAGATGTATATTCTTTTATGGGATTATTGTCTAAAATGCCATTTTTTTGGAAAAACTTACGAAAATGCCATTTTTTGAATAGTTTACGGATTTTGCCATTTTTTAACACTTAAAAATGTACGTATTTATAATTTTTTTTGCAAAAATACGTACTTTATACCAAATACTAAACCCTAAGAACAAATGGAACCGACTAAACCCAAACATAACGAGTGAAACGCATGTTAAATCATATTTTTGGAGCTTGAAAAAGGGCAAAATCCACAAACTATTCAAAAAAGGGCAAAATCCACAAATGCCACTATAAAAAAGGGCAAAATCCGTAATTAATTCTTCTTTTATATTAACTGTGTAACCTTTTTCAGTTGTAGAAATTAACCACAACTTGTATACTAGTGACCAAAATAAATAAATAAAAGTTGTATACTATGTAACATAGGGTAAAATGAATAAATATATAGGAACTCTAAATTATTGAGATATGCAGCAATATTTGTCTTGTGTGGAGATTAGAAAAGAAATGAGCCAATGTCCCATCATCCTCTAATATGATATAATTAGATTATTTGATATATTAAGTAAAATCTAAAATGATTGTTTTTTTATTGATACCAAACTTTTCTGACTTGAGTGAATGTTTTTTTCACTTCTAGCGAATCTCTTATATAGTAAAGCAGAAGCAAAGAAAACAACTATTTCCTACAAGGGGGATTCGAGATGGATTTAGTTAGTTTTTGTTTTGGATATATGTTGGACAAAACACAATCTATAAACGGTAGCAAAGTAATTATTTTTACCACATTTATCATTATAGAGATCTCTGAAATTGAAAATTATAAGGTATACATAAATTGAATGTTTCACTAAAAATTTTAACATGTTCCAAACTGGCTTGTGTAAAGTTGTTTTGATTGGATGCTATTCATGGATGGGAAGTGACAGAAATGGATGTTACCCAATGTTTTCTTGCATGGTTTTTTATTTTATTTTGATAAACGTTCTTGCATGGTTTATTGAAAAAGAGATATACATGAATCTCCCTCAATGATCTACCTTAAATACACCTCTAATTTTCTACCAACAAATCCTATTTATAGACTGCATAAGTTATATGTCGTGCTTACTTATGGTTTCATGCAGTCCTTGTTTGTTAAAGAAATTATTCATTTTAAAAAAAAAATTATTTTTCATGTTTCTTGCTTTGCCGGTATACGTATTTCTAGTAATAACTCTATTGCTTTGGAATTGTTTTGGGCAAGAGAGTTCAACTGAAGGGTTACGTTTATATCTCTTACACTTTTTTCTTGGAGTGTAAGTTGCAAGTATTTCTTCTAAGGAAATATTTCTGTGTGGAAGTATTAGGGATGTCAATTGGGCTGTCCAAGTCCAAATGAGTCTGTCCAAATGGGACCAAGACCAAATAGGACCGTGTCCAATTAAGACCAAGCCCAAATAAGACCATGACCAACTGGACAGCCCATGGGGCCCAAATAATATAATTTTCTATTTCCCGCCAAAACCGCAAAAACACATTTTCTCTCAAAATCGAAGAATTACATTTTTCCGCCAAATCGTAAAATAACATTTTTCCGCCAAAACTGTAAAAATATTTTTTGGAGCGAAAATGTCATTGTAAATCCTAATTTCTAAAGAAATAAAGAAAAAAAAATTCTCAAAATTAGTAACCCTAATTTTTAAGGCGTATTGGACGCCCATGTCCAGATGGGTTCGGCCCATTTGTTTGTGGAATAAATGGGCTTCTAGCCCATATGGACCGCTTCGAATTTGGGCGAATTTGGGCGTGACCAAACCCGGACCATTATAATTTGGACTGGTCTTGCCCATGGTCACGAAGCCCATTTGACATCCCTAGGAAGTATACATTGGAACTATTAGAAGTTATATTGCTCTTCTAGCGTATAAACCAAGTTATGTTATGGACCCTTATCTTCATCTCAGCAAAGACACAAGAAAATTATTGGGTTCACCAACGGCATATCGAAAGCTTATATATTGGACATTTTCTCTATCGTAATACAACGATATATATCACCTATGCAGTTCATAGACTAAGCCAACTACTTCAAGCTCCTACTCATGTTCGTGTACAATAGAATACTGGATAAAAGGCTACTAAGACAAAGCTTCATGTCATGCATGATTCGAGAAGATAGATTTCTGGCTTTTGTGACTATCTTGGTAATTCTTTGGTTTCTTAAATTAAAAAAAAAGCATCCCACTATACGTAGGAGTGCTATAGAATCAGACTCAGAATATGCCACCTTTGAGCTTATATGGATTCATCAGTTGATCACATATTTGAAAATCTCTTTAGTTATTAATGCTAAAATCTTTTGTGACAATAAGTCAACTTTTCATATTGCTTCCAACCCAGTCTTCCGTGAACGTACTAAAGCCCATAAAGATTCACACAGTTTATAATCATCAAAATTGGTTTTCTCAAACCACTCATGTGTCGAGTAATAATCAACTAGCAATCTAGCATGCATCTTAACTAATTAAGGCCTTGTGTTCAGGTTCTTTCACTCTATATAAACGAGAAACATTTTAACTAGTTCTAGTTAATGAGAATTGGCCTTTCATAATTTTTATTTTTGAATTACTAAAAGTCTTTCATAAGAACTTTACCGTTCGATCTTCTTCACTCTCTTCAGCTCTTTGTTCATCGAGAATTTGTTCTCTTTAGCTCAAAAAGCTTTATCGAGTTCTATTTGATAAAAAGAGAGTTTGTTCTTGTGATCTTGATCTTGTTATTACTTAGTCATTGAGATGTGCTTGTTGTTTTAGCTTTCTCATTTGCTTGACCATGTTGTGGGTCACAGAATTTGCTTGTTTGGCTCCAATAGCTAGCCTCATCCCCCAAGTGGAGACAACTCCCGTTAAAGTTCGAAAGAAAACTTCGTTTGTTCAAATAAACAATTCATTGAGTTTGTGGGTGAAACTAATCAAGACTCGACTTATGGAAGAAAAACTGATATTATACTAAGTGGAGTTGGATTCCTTGTTAAAACACAGAGAGTGAGTGCGGTGACTCAGCATTTGCATTTTCCTAGTCATCTATTGCGCCCACTTCCTATAGAATTGAAGTACAAAACGATCAAATCATGAAACCAAGCTAGTGTCAATGACATTTAGCTGTTAATGAATCATTTCTTTGCTTTTACAAATTATTATTAAGTTTCTTTAAGAAATCTTCTAATCTTGGTTATCGCATGCAAAAACTAGATAAAACTAGAATAAGATGTTTTAATCATGATTTAGGAAAAATATAAAGGATATATAACCAAAGAGGTTTAATAGGAAACAAGATAGAAATAGCACGATATAAGGGCATGCGCTTCTTAGTTCTTATAGGACAACTTATGGTTCTGTTTCCCATCATCACATGCCAAATAGATTTGATAAGAAGTTGGGTAAGTGTATAATTATAGAATGTGACTACTTTGTTTTCAAAGAGACAACTCATCTACCTTATCACATGTCGTAATCCATATGGAGTTTCAGTATTAGTGCCCTTATATTTAGATTTCTAGTGGTTATTGGTAGTGGTCATTCGTAGAATGAGCTTCTCTATTTGTATAGCATAGAATTTCATGTGAAGAAAGTTTGTGAGGCTCATTTCACTAAGCTATAGCCTAAATTAAAAATATTCAAGACGCCTCGGTTGATTTTCCTTAAGGTTCATCTAATTGATGAGATACTTCTCTAAGTTGATAATTGTACGAGTCGAAAAGAGTAAACTCACTTTTACCTTATTTGGCTACAAGTTGAGACCTAGTGAAGCAAAATCCAACGTGAAAGTAGAGGCTTCAAATTAACCTAAGCGATGTCGGTACCTTTCCATCGATGATTAATTGTACAACACCTCTCTCTATGTTAGGAATAAGCACAATATTCACGAACATCTTTTTACATTCTTAGTTCATATAGAGTTTATGTTTTATCAAAATTTTGTTTTCTATACGAATGGAAATTTGAAAGCATATATATAATACACTAAAAACTTATTTATATACTTTTATGGTTTTGTGTGTATTAATTAGAGTCGTAAACGCTTTCATGTACACACCTTGTACCCTGACCACG